TTTCAAAAAGGCGGGGCATAGAGGAGAAACAATAATGTACAGTATGTGGAAAATAATGTTTTTTTTACTTTAAACCACAAACACATTTCATTACACCAAATACACAAAATAGTGTTCTTTTTAGTAACATCATATGACCCCTTTAAAGAAGGTCCCCTCCTAAACTAATGTGACACAAAACAGCTGTTTACCAGCCAAGTTACTTTATTTTCTTGTCCCAAAGAGATGTAGCAGAGAATAAAAAGTACAATGCTTTCTCAATGCTGAAAACACAGCACGTTACTGGAAGAATACTTGAGTTACTCCACAATATAACAGATATCTATATATCTGTCTGTCTGTCTTTGTTTACATACTAGATTCCGGTGGGTCAATTGCAAAATTTTCATAAAATGTTTCTCGCTAAACTGTATAATTGACCGCTGTCCCAGGCAACCTATGTAGCTGTGCTATATTTATCTCTGTCGTATCACTCCAGCTCTCTTCCTTTTTCCGTAATATAATTAAAATCAATATTTTATGTCCTTAGAATTGTTTGTAGAATTCTTTTCTGATTTTTTTCAGAATTGTTTGTATTGTATTCTGTGTGTGTTTGTGTATGTATGTACAGGTGCATCTCAATAAATTAGAATGTCATGGAAAAGTTCATTTATTTCAGTAATTCAACTCAAATTGTGAAACTCGTGTATTAAATCTAATTTATTGAGATGCACCTGTATGTATGTGTGTATGTGTATATATACATATATACATACACACACACACACACATTTGCAATAGCAAATATATACACTCTTTTTATATTTATATATTCACGCTTTTTTTTTTTTTATACACTCTATTTTCTCAAAATTATCCACAAAAAAAAAGCACTATACTGCCTGACAAGGCTGGTTGTAGATTCTGATCCAATTGAGTACATGAGATAAAATCATAGCTATGTTTTACAGCTTCACTCTAAAGATGTGTATAGGAAAAGAACAGGATATCCTGTGGAGTGACTTTAAATGGAGTTTCCCACGGTAAAGCTGGATTCGATTTTCAATGAATTACTCCCATTTTTCGAAGAGTTGGTGTCCAGTAGACTTCCATTACAGAAAGATACTGACATTAGATTTGCATTAATCTTTGATGTAGCTCAATTAAAGCTTAACCCTAAAGCCTACTGTATCATATTTGATACACAAATTTCTAAGGCCTCTAAATCAACACAGTGAACACACTACTACATGCCCTCAATTGTCTGATTGATGGTTTATACTTTTTTTTAGCAAGTAAAAGGCCTCTTAGTAAGACAAATTATTGGGAGATTTAGAGTGACAACTGATATGCATTTTAATGTGCATTTTATGTAAGCAGTCTGCTATATTGTTTAGATCTCCTTTATTTACTTTTTACTTTTTTTTTTGGACTATTATTTCATATGTCAGGCTTTACAGGGTCAAGTTAATCTGACTTGGTGACTGTTTGAGATGTCTGGTTAAATTAAATGACTTAATTGAAACTTTGACAAATGTTACAGGCTAGGTCTTTCATATATTACATTTCATTGTATGTGAAAACTTAGATTTTTCAGAAAGATTTTCTGATGTCTTGAGTCACAAAACTTTCAAAGAGAGCATGATTTGAGATATATTTGAATCCTTTGTTGGTGTATTTGTGCAAGAGGATTGTGTAGCACTAAAGCACGCTTCTTCCTTAACATAAATGACGCAATTTAGTGTGGAATCCTGAATATTATAGGAGGAGACTCTTTATTTTTGAAAACTCTTAGTTCTTCATGTTTTTATCCATGTTCCAGGAAGGAATTCATCATTACGCGCTTTTGTAAAGTACTTAAAGGGATAGTTCATCCAAAACTTTAAAATTCTGTCAGCATTTTGTCACCTTTTCTTCATTCCTGTATGCATTTTTTTTTCTTCTGCTGCACACACAAAAACGGATGTTTTGAAGAATGTTGGTAACCAAACAGTTTCATTCCTATTGACTTCCATTGTATTTTTTGTCCATACATTGGAAGTCAATGAAAACCTAAAGTTTAGTTACCAACATTTTTCAAATGTTGTGTTCCACAGAAAAAAAAAGAGCGTCACACTGGTTTGGAAAGGACGGAGGCTGAGTAAATGATGGCAGAATTTTTATTTTGAGGAGAACAATCCCTTTAAAGGAACATGGCATTCAAAAATAAAAAATTCTGTCATTATTTACTCATCCTATATCATTCTTTTATGCTGTTTTATCATCTTCTAGCCCTACCTGTGTTATGTGGTGCTAAATGAAGACTTGTTTTTACAGTTTATAGTCATGGCACATTATCCTGTGTTTTGCATGTAGGAGCTCTGACTGTTGGTCTAGTCAAGCAATGTCAGACCATCCATGGTCGAACCAGGGTATGTATCTCCCCAAGCCTTCCTCCAGAATGGATCACTACCCTGTTCTTCATCATCTTAGGCATCATCTCACTCACTATCACATGTGGCCTGCTTGTGATCTCACACTGGAGGCGAGAGGCTGCAAAATATGCCCGCTGGATCGCCTTCATGGGAAGTATGTTACCTAAAGAAAATGTGATATGCATAAATAATTCACATCTGTTAAGTGGTTTAAATAACTTTGTGTTTTTTTTTTTGTAGTGGTCCTCTTCTGCATGGCCGCTCTCATATTTCCAGTTGGATTTTACATCAATCAAGTTGGAGGACAACCTTACAAATTACCCAATAGTATGGTTGTTGGGTCCTCATATGTACTGTTTGTTTTATCAATATTTTTTACAATAGTTGGACTTCTTTTTGCAGGTAAAGTCTGTCTGCCCGGCTGACAAATCCTCTGATTTAAATTTTTTTTTTTATGCTACATAGTTGACTTTTTCAATGCCAGTGTGGTTTAAATGATGACAAAAAAAAAATAACTTCAAAGGGCCACAAGAGGGCCTTTTTTGCAGTGATGTTGTGGTCAATAAAAGATTTATGTAAGCAATAATGTACAGTCAGACAGTCATTAACACTAAATAAGTCATCCTTGCATTGCCCTGAGGGGGGGGGTATTTAGCAGTAATGACTGGCGGACTGTACAATATACCGCTTATGACATGTCTACTCACCAAATAAATATATGAACATATAACACTGATTTGTGTTTAAATTATTTTACCTGTACTCTATATTACCTTAAAGAAATAGTTCACTTAAAAATGAAAATTTGCTGAAAATGTACTCACTCTCATCCAATACGTAGATGAGTTTGTTTCATCCTCGGAACACTTGCTCACCAGTGGATCCTCTGCAATGAATGGGTGCTGTCTGAATGAGAGTCCAAACAGCTGATAAAAACATCACAATAATCCACAAGTAATCCATACCATTCCAATTCATCAATTAATGTCTTGTGGAATGAAAAGCAGTGTGTTTGTAAGAAACAAATCCATCCTTAATTTCCTTCTGACTAAAATACAGGTTCTCTATCCATAATATTGTCTTCTCCAGTTTTACTATTGTAGGGGAATTACAGTTAAACCCATTGATCTATATATAATGATATATTACAGATCAGAGGTTAAACCCCATAGAGAGACCAATATGCTCAATGAAGACCAGGGGCCTCATGTATAAAACTACGTAGATTTCATCCTAAGAGTGTACGTACGCACAAAAGCTAGATTTGGCGTATGAACAAATGTTTTCAGATTTATAAAACCATGCGTACGCCAGAACCTACGCAAAAATTATTTTATAAATCCCAGTCAGCGGAAGATTGTGCGTACATGCGTCTCCTCCTCAAATCATATATGGAGCTTACAACGCCTAGTTTTAATTCATCAATTAATGTCTTGTGGAATGAAAAGCAGCGTGTTTGTAAGAAACAAATCCATCCTTAATTTCCTTCTGACTAAAATACAGGTTCTCTATCCATAATATTGTCTTCTCCAGTTTTACTATTGTAGGGGAATTACAGTTAAACCCATTGATCTATATATAATGATATATTACAGATCAGAGGTTAAACCCCATAGAGAGACCAATATGCTCAATGAAGACCAGGGGCCTCATGTATAAAACTACGTAGATTTCATCCTAAGAGTGTACGTACGCACAAAAGCTAGATTTGGCGTATGAACAAATGTTTTCAGATTTATAAAACCATGCGTACGCCAGAACCTACGCAAAAATTATTTTATAAATCCCAGTCAGCGGAAGATTGTGCGTACATGCGTCTCCTCCTCAAATCATATATGGAGCTTACAACGCCTAGTTTTACTATGCATAACCTCATCTGCATATTATTTCCATGCATATTCCCATCCACGTGACACCATGTTTAACACCGTCAAAGGTACAAGACGTTAGGAAAATATGACATGCGGACTAAAAATGCTATTTGTACGGTACATTACATCGCTAAAAATCATTCACTGTCCTTGTCTTGTTTTCGAATAAATATATCAAAATGAATGTAAAAACAAAAATACTTTTAGAATAGAGTGGATCTCTTTCTTTTCCACTGGCCAAAGCAGTATATAATTGTTTTAAACAAATCAAATGTTTTAGGATATTTAACAAATGTTTAGGATATTTAAATAGGCTATAGTAGAATCAGAAATACGGTGTGTGTAAATAAGTGTAAATAATTGTCTGGCGCTTTGTAACTGAGAAAATATTATAAAAAAGAAATGTGCAAATCTTACCGTTTGCTTCAGATTCGATCCTTCAATCACAATGCTATTTTCATAATGTTCTGAAGATCGCAGAAGTCGTCTGCTAAAAGACTAAAGTCTCAAATCCAAAGAGATATTCTTTATAAAAGTTAAGAGTCAGCCACGCCTACCTAAAACGGCTTGTTCTAACACGCCCCCACATGTCTACGTCACTATGTGGGAAGATTTGCATAACGCCGTCCAAATGTTCACGCAAAGAAAGAACTGCAATTGCATTGTTACTAGTAAGAATTAAATTAGAGAGCTCTACAATTAAATTCTTACTAGTAAGAATTACAATTACAGAGCTCGTTATTTGCCTTTCCAAATCCCGCCTGTGGTGATACACTTCAAAATAAAAGCCCCATAAGCATGACTTGATAGCATTTTAATTGTGTCAGAATGACCATAAGAGTGAGATGACAGTTTGGAAAGGTTTTGTTTTAATATTTAATCACTTAATTAATTCACACCCTTATATTATTATTAATATTATTAATATTATTATTTCTTTATTTCAGACCCTTGGGTCCATATCACAAAAATGAAAATAAAGAGTAGCCTAGTCTTGAAAATACTTTACCAGACAAAATATCACCTCATTTTGGTGTTTATTATGCACTGTAACATGCATGCAGAATTTGAGCTAGTACATATATAGGCTAATTAATAGGTTAATTGTCACTCTTGACAAAATGTTTTAAAATTTATTTCTCTCTCTCTCTCTCTCTCTCTCTCTCACTCTCTCTGGGTCTTACTGAGTGATTCATTTAAAAACACAGATTCATGCAAGTACAAAACATGTCTCTCGGAGACGCACAACAGTTCTTTTCCGGCTTTGTTTGGCATTGAGACATGTTTTGTGTTGGTGAAACAAAAACAGAAAATAGTGTGTCCAAAATGTAACTCACTTGTATTAATTTCTTGGTTGTTGAGCTGTATATAATCAACGTCACATTCACGATCATGCTCGTGCGCTAATATTCGGAAAACGGCACTCTTGCTTGTGTGACATTACTTAACTATATCAGATGTTATAAATATAAAAAAAACAAATACTCATACAGGGATATTTTTGCCCTCATAACTATAGTGGCATTCTAACTGCATTCTAATAGGCTTCATCATGCAGTAAATGCTTCTGTTAACAGTAGGCCTACAGGACCCAGCCTCAGCATTATTGTGTAAGTGGATAATGTGAATAAAGCCCTTGCAAAGCTTAACAAAAACAGGTATTTTACAACCAATAATTAAATATGCAAATTGCTGAGAATACATTTATATGCATGTTTTCTGTGCAAGTGTGAATTCACCTTTAAAAATAACTTACAGTAGCTACATAGACTACCTATATTTCTTCTTTGTAAAGCATAATCATTTTATAATGATTTTAAT